ATATTATATATATATTTATATATATATATATATAACATTTATATATATATATATATAACATTTATATATATATATATATATATATATATATATAACATTTATATATATATATATATATATATATATATATATATATATATATATATATATATATATATATATATATATATATATATATATATGTATATATATATATATATATATATGTATATATATATATATATATACATATATATATATATACATATATATATACACACACACACACATTCTTTATAATGCTAAACTTTATAAAGAATCTATCTTTATAATTTTTTCAGCCGCCACAGGCAAATATCGCGCAACTCCAGTAAAAAAATTAATATCAAATATATACAATGTGTCACAATGATCTAGATCTATTATAATTAAATAATGGGTCAGGAATTTTAATGGTCGGTTTAGTTGGTTTACCATCAGGTACGCTGAAATAAATTTGCAAAAACAAACAAACACTAAGTATAATAAAACACTGGATATGCAAAAACGCTTTTGCAAGAGGTCTTTGTTTAAGAGATATAATATCTCTCCAATGCTCGTGCTGTTCAACAATCGATTTTTTTTCCTCTCGCACGTTTTGCGAGAACCCACACGCAAAGTAAAATACTCGTTTCCAGCAAGAGCTATGTTTTAATGAAGGAACTGTTAAACCTAAAAGATTGTAAAGATAAAAAAAAATTTCCAAAAAGATATCTTTTATTTAAATGAATGTGTATGTGTGTGTGTGTGTGTGTGTGTGTGTGTGTTTGAGTGATTGTTATCATTGCCCGTAAGATAGTAAACTTTCGATTAACCCTTTCAGTCCCGGGATAATTTCTACTATCCATAGTCAAAATTGCTATTTCTGAATCAAATACTTTAAAAATTTTAGTAACTAAAATATTAAGCAAATCTCTATCGAGCTCTTTTAACTAACACATTGATCTGAAAAAAGAATAAAATTAAAAAACTTATATATCAGACCCAATTCCATCAGTAAGCTTCAAAAATTTGCTATTTGGATAAAAAATCCCCAAAATATATTGAAACATATATTACAAACAACTAAAACTCATTACAAAAACAGTTTAGCAATCATTGAAGTATTTCATAGAAAAAATATTTTTTTCTAGAACTACATCAATGATTTTTCACAGTTTTTATGAAATTTTTTAAATAAAAACTGTAAAAAAGAAGTAAATTTTTAAATCTCAATTAGTTATTTTCAAAAAAAAAACTAATGCGAAACAATAAGTATAATGTAAAATAAAAGAATTATTTTAAAAAACAAGCTACAATGAATAGTTAACTTGAGTGTACTAAGCTTCAAAACAGATCTCTGGGTTGACTAGATGCAAAGATAACTACAGTGTTACAGTTAGTGTAAATTTTTCGCCTTCCAATAAAAAAAATGCGGATAAACGAAAAAGATAAATAAACGCTATATCTCAAGACAGCGTGTTCCAGATAACCTTAATACTTTTATTTGTAAAGATAAATAGTCTAAAGACTATGAAAAAATGTTAATTTGAAAAAGTTAAGATAAAAAAAAATTAAACCTAAAACATTCACTATATGTATGTTCTTGTTAAAATTCAAGTGAAATTCCAACTTCACAGGCACCACCAAATCTAAACAACCATCTGCCATCTTTAAGAAAAATTGTACCTGATGAAATTGAGGATTTTAGTGAAAGCTGACAAAATTCTATACATTAAAGATATACTTTTTGATAACTGTGGTGTTATGTGCATCATAAAATTTTTAGAGCCATATGAATATTATTGACTGAATTAGTTGTCTCCATACTGCGATAGAATATCTTTACCAATTAACCACAAAAAAAGTATTATTATTGAACAGATGATAGGTATGAACTAAGTTTAAGATGATTTTTAAAGCTATATTTTTATAAATATTATTTTTCTAAAAGACGGGTCATTCTACTAATTGATGATATTTATGTTAAACCACAGTTATCGCATGAAGGAGGTAACATTTTTAGTAAATCTGCAAACTACACAAATATATAGGTAAAAACAGTTTTTGATTTAATTATTTGGGTTTTGTTTGGTGAAAAACGCTTTTTGCATGAGGACATTTCAAGTAAAAAATTTAGATGCTGATGCAAAGCTGGTCAACAGTTATAATCTTTTTACTCTTTAAGGTTCTTTAATATTTCTATTCTTTTCAACAATAACAAAGTAAATAAAAAGCTTTTTGAGTTTTTAATCTTTTATTAAGCCTTTTTAATTTAATAAAAAATTCACAAAAGTTAGCTCACAGAAAAATGCCAAGAACTATGTTTTATTATGAAGGTATTTTAAGAACTGCAAAATGGTCAGACCTCAAAAAGATTTTTCAATTTGAAAAAGGTTAAAAAAATTATCTAAACCTAATAAATATAATACTAAAATGTGTCAAAAATGTTTAAAAATGTCAACTTAATTAAAAATATTTTGTGATAAGGCTAGAGCTGCTTTAAAAATCTATGAAAAATATTGACGACATGATATCTATTTCTCAAACGTTATTTGTACAAGTAAAAATCTTGCTGTTTTTTCATCAAACGATGAGAAACATTGAATTTTCTTTTAAATATGGCTGAAAAAATGGTAGAAAAAAATGGCTCCTGAAAAACAAGGTCAAAGAATAAAAAACTTAACCAAATATTAACTAAGAAAGATTAACAAACATTTACTAATTACAAGTCAAAAGTATGTTTACCTCGAACATTTTACTAGTGACCCTTTTGAGAAAACATAAGGAAAACTTTGACAAGGATTAGGTGGTATCTTGACAAGGACCAGGTGGTATCAGGATTAGGTGGTATCTATTATATAAATGTTCAACAAATATTTCAAAAAGTAGATATTAAAAAAAACTTTTTTCGAAAACTGTTATTATTTCTAATGAATTAGAAATTTTATCAAACTACTTGAAAAATTTGTGTGAAAAATTTAGTTATGTTATGCAAGATTATACTTTCAAGATAATAAATGTAATGATGTTCAATGTTTTTTCATAATCTTCTATTTATTAAAAAAAATTAGTCTAAAGAAATTAAAATGTTTTTGGTTTGTAATGTAAGTTAGTAGAGTAGATCCTTTGGCTGAAGATTCTTTTGTTTTGATAAATTTGGAGAACATGTCGGAGAGATTAATTGCAATGAAGTTTGTCTGTCATTAATAACAATATTTGACATTAATATTTTATCCATATATTTTATCCATATATTCTTCACTATCTATACACAGCCACAACCTGTCATTTAAAAAATCTTTCTCAAAATGTAAACTAAATATATGCATAGATGTTGTGTTATTCATAATGAGATAAGGAAATATTAACTTAATATTATTTAAAATATTAAATAACTAATTTTAACATAAATTTTTATAATAGATCAAATACTATAAAAATTAAAGCATTTTTAAAATAATTTGTCTCCAATTTTCTAAAGCACATATGGATCAGACTGTTAAAATGCAATGAAATCTCATGCTCTTGTCAATGTCATAGCGATGTGTTGTGTTCTTAAAGAAAGAGTAAGTTAAGTAGTTTGTAGCACACAATGTTACATTTCAACACCAACATCCCAATCCCTGACGCATTGCACTTTATGCTATATGATTTCCTGGATTTATGATTTGAGGTGCAATCACTGCTAGTTTTTGTGCTCGTCACAACATTTACTACAAGGTAACACTGTCAAAGCCACAAATTTTTTGAAAATTTTGAAGAACATTGAGTTTGATTGGTTCCTGATTAAGAAACTAACTTGAAACTGTAACATTTTCATGCATAACAAAACAACTTGCCGTCAGGTTAAAAATCTTAAAATATAGCTCCAAAAAATGCAAACAATACTCTTGTTTTGTGGGTAGACAATTTGCCTTGTTTAAACTCCATTAAAAACAAGTCAACAAGTCACTTTTTACCATTTTGATTACTGTAATTACATTCAAAATAATCAAAATAAAAATAGTTATATCAAAAGTTATAGGTAAATTGGTTTTTTTTTTCTACTGGATAATATTGAAGCAGTTCCTAAACGAAACCCAAGCCTGAAGCCAGATCTGTAGAATAAATAATGCACTAACACTGTGAATTTTTATTTTCCACAATATGAAGAATGAAGGTTGTTCTGAAAGTTTGAGGAGCCCATAAAAACAACTAAAACATGGTTTTTACTATGAATTTTTCATTTTTTTTATGTTCATGGTGTTTTATACACTATATGTTCATGTATGCTGTTTTATACACTATACTGTATATATTTATAAAAATGTTTATGGTTTTAAATATTGTTATTACTAATATATAATTTAATAAAAAAGAAACAAATGGTTGTTAATATAAGGCTAGAACTTTTATTATAAGGCTTAACATTAGATAACCCCTATAATAACAGGTAATTCAAAATTATAGTTGTAAAACATGTGTTAAAATAAATCTACCTTGAGGTGATTATAAATCTGTTTTTTTATTAATATAAAGAATAACCTGTATCTCTGCTTCCAATGACATCCACATAGGAATGAAATTCCAATTCTTCATCGCACAAATTTCTTCTTTTCATTTCATTTTCATCAATTTCATCCATATCATGCTCTTCTTTTATTTCATCACCTCGAATAGTAGAATCATGTTTTGTCCAAACTGTTGTACGAATCAGCTGTAAAGAAAAAAAAGTTTTTAAAGCATTTGTGTATAAATTTTATTATAAACAAGATATTATTTCATAAATTATTGTGCACACAAGAACAAAGATTTAAATAAAATATTTTTTTTTCATTGCCTTTAAAGATTGATTGCAGTCTTAAAACTCCATACCTGTCCTAATTCAAGTCCAAAATGTATATGGCATGAATAAATATAACAACAACTATATATATATATATATATATATATATATATATATATATATATATATATATATATATATATATATATATATATATATATATATATATATATATATATATATATATATAGGGGAGAGTGGGGTAATGACGAACAGCTAAGCGGGAATGCGAATTAAAGACAATTATTACTATATATTAATGATATTTTTTGCTTATTATTTAGTCTAACCATTTGGTTAGAATCACTCAAAAGCAATTTTCATATATCTTATTAAAAAATAAAAAATTCGATTAAAAACAAAACCTTCGGTGTTCGGAATTACCCTACGTACATGGGGTAATTCCGAACATACCGTGTATATATATATACTTATATATATATATATATATATATATATATATATATATATATATATATATATATATATATATATATATATATATATATATATATATATATATATATATATATATATATATATATATATATATATATATATATATATGTATGTATACATATATGTATATATTTATATATATACATATATATATATTTATACATATATATATATATATATATATATATATATATATATATATATATATATATATATATATATATATATATATATATATATATATAGTATATATATATATATATATGTATATATATATATATATATATATATATATATATAATATATGTATATATATATATATATATATATATATATATATATATATATATATATGTATATATATATATATATATATACATATATATATATATATATATATAGATATATATATACATATATATATATATATATATATATATATATATATATATATATATATATATATATATATATATATATATATATATATATATATATATATATATATAAATTTTACAATAATAAACTAAATAAATAATGTAAAATAACTTTATTTAAGAATCATCCGTGTGTTATCATATACGCTAGAATACTTTGAAGACAATAAGTGTTCGCGATTACCCCACTAAGATCGTTCGTTATTTCCCCGCGTTACAACCAAATGAAATTAAACGAATATATTGAGGTAGTATTATCATACCCTAAATATAATACGTGTTACAAACTCCATGATTATGATACTTTGCAACAACATAAATAAAAGTGTGGTTTTATATACATAGTATAGCCAATACATAAATGTTTCGCAAATAAAAATTACATAAAACTAAGAGAAAAACTTAAAAGCAATCTACCGCGAAGAACCTGCGCATTTATAATACACTATTGCACGTCTGGAACTGAGCATGGAACCCACTCTTGTCAGAAAAAAAAAGATTGTCAGCTATCCTTTTCTAACATGCCTTAACAACCTTGTTCGGAGTTACCCCGCGTTCGCCATTACCCGACTCTCCCCTATATATACTAGGTTGGTTGAAAAGTTCGCGGAGCGGCACCTATGTTGCAGTAGTAGAAACAAATTTATAACTGTATTAAACGTATTCATTCTTCGTATGAACGCATAAAAAATTTCAAGTCGATATGTCATTTCAGTCTTTGTTTACAAGCTATTGAAATTAGACGTGTCATAGTATTTTTTAAAATGGAAAATATTGAACATCGTGCTGTAATAAAATTCTTTGTGAAAAAAGGTTTAAAGCCCATGGAAATTCATAATGAAATGGTAAATGTGTTGGGTGATGATGCTCCTTCAAAAACAACAGTATGCAAATGGGCTGCGGAGTTTCAACGTGGGCGTTCAAGCCTTGAAGATGACCCTCGCTCTGGACGTCCAAAAAGTGCTACTACTGAAGAAACGATTAATGCTGTGCATGACATGGTTATGGATGATAGACGATTGACCAAACGTGAAATTGCTGAGGCTGTGGGCATCTCAGATGAACGGGTATTACACATCTTGCACGATGAATTACGTCTGAGAAAGCTGTTGGCAAGATGGGTGCCGCATTCGCTAACTCTGGATCAGAAACGCACTCGAGTAAAACTTTCTCAAGAACATTTGGCCCGTTTTCAAAAGAATAAAACAGATTTTGTGCGTCGATTCGTAACCATGGATGAGACTTGGGTTTACCACTATGATCCGAAGCTGCGACAACAAACTGCAGAGTGGACAGAACCCGGTTGTTCAGCTCCGAAGCAAGTGAAGGCGTCAAAATCGTCAAAGAAGGTTATGGCATCAGTTTTTTGGGATGCGAAAGGAATTTTATTAATAGATTACCTTCAAACCGGTAAAACGATAACAGGTGAATATTATAAAAATCTTTTGGACCAGTTAGATAAAAAAATTCGTGAAAAAAGACCTGGTTTGCTGCATAAAAAAATCATTTATCACCAGGACAACGCACCTGCTCATATCAGCGATGTTGCAAAGGCGAAATTGGTCGAATTAAAGTACGAACGCTTGGAACATCCACCCTATTCACCAGATCTGGCTCCGTCCGACTTCCACCTCTTTCCACATCTCAAAAAATTTCTACGTGGAAAGCGTTTCTCATCACATGAAGAAGTCATTGCAGCCGTAAATGGGTATTTTGAAGGCCTTCCGGAATCGCACTTCAGAGATGGGATACATGAATTGGAGAATCGTTGGAAAAAGTGTATTGCTCTTAAGGGAGAATATACTGAAGAATAAAGTCATTTTTTGAATCATAAAATTGTTTTTTCATTTCCGCTCCGCAAACTTTTCAACCAACCTAATATATATATATATATATATATATATATATATATATATATATATATATATATATATATATATATATATATATATATATATATATATATATATATACATATATATAAATATAATGAAAATAATAGCTCACTTGTTCAGGATGTGGTGCGTCTGTTACTAAACTTAAAACAACACAAACAATAGATGTGACAACAAATAAAATAAATGCAAAGTAGAAATAATGCACATGTTTAATAATTGCAGGACGTTTGTCAGGTTCATTACAACCAGGCGTAGGGTGAGAAAAATCCAATCCCATTCTTATAATTCCAATGAAGAAACCAACTATTAGCGCCCAGAAAGTACCCTACAAAAAAAAACAAAAAAACAATTATAAAAACCTTTTAAATATACAAATAAATATAAATAGAGTTAAGCAAATCACCACTTCGTTACTACGCTTCCATAAGATAGCAATGAGGTATACAGCTGCTATAGGAGGTGCAAAGTAGGAAGAGACAGCTTGTATGTAGATAAACAACTGCCCACCTTGCAAATCCTTTAAGATTGGAACCCATAACACACTGATGATACACAAAACAAGCACAAACAATCTACAAACAAATTTAAAAAGGTTTAACTATAAATCTTTTAGGACAATTAAAGAAATAATTAAAAAAAATAAAAAACAACGGATTTCATTTTTACTCTTTTGTTTAGAATACTGTGCAGTGTATGTTTAGAATACTAAATACTTAATGATATTGTACACATGTGTTAGTGTTAACTTAATGACATTGTACACATGTTACTACATTCTTATTAGCCATTTTCTTTTAACTATTATTTTTAACTACTTTTTTAGTAAACATTTGTTAAAATTACCTTTGAAAGTAAAAAAACATTCTACTGTTATTTGTTGTTGAATTTCATTATAACGTTTAACTATCTTTAAATGATATTGCTTACCTGCCTACAATCATCAGTTCCCTTGTTGATGCATGTTTTCTAAGATTTTTATAAATGTCCATAGTAAAAAGTGCTGATGCACTATTGAAGATTGAGGTAAGATCACTCATCAAAGCAGCCATCATGACTGCTAACATCATACCACGTAAACCTGAAATTATAACAAATAATTACAACTAAATTTGAGTAATTTAATTTTGATTTATTCAGCCATCTATTCTTACTTTCTATTTACTTTAATTATTTAAATAAATTTTTTTTTGTTTAATCTATTTTTTTTATTTGTAGATACTATATAGATATTATTTTTGCCATGGTTAATAAAAGAATTTAGCAAGCATATATGTGTATGTATGTATGTATGTATGTATGTATGTATGTATGTATGTATGTATGTATGTATGTATGTATGTATGTATGTATGTATGTATGTATGTATGTATGTAAGTACGTAGGTACGTATGTATGTATGTATGTATGTATGTATGTATGTATGTATGTATGTATGTATGTATGTATGTATGTATGTATGTATGTATGTATGTATGTATGTATGTATGTATGTATGTTTGTGTGCATGCATGTATGTATGTATGTATGTATGTATGTATGTATGTATGTATGTATGTATGTATGTATGTATGTATGTATAGAGTTGCGAAAAAACACGTTTTTTACTCTTGCGTTTTTTTGGGTCAAAAAAACGTGTTTTTTTGTTTTTTTTTTGATGTTTTTTTGACTTTTTAAACAAGTTTTTTATTTTTCTTGGTAAATAATTTGGAAGAGTTTTTGTTTTATTCTGTTTTGTTTATAGTATATGATCATTATAACCACAAATACAATGTATAAACACCAATTTAAAATTAATGTTTTAATAAAAAACTTACATTGGTTTTACATTGTTTGTTACGTATGTTGAATTATATTGCATGTAAGCCCTTATAAAAAAAGCTCTAACTTTATAATTAATTTACATGAAATTTTTGAAAAATAATGTTTTATTAGTTTAAATTGGTTATTAATTCAGTGCTAAGTAGTGTAGCACTGTGTAGTGTAGTATATACACAATTAAAAAAAAGTATAAATATTTAAGCAAAAAAGCCAATAATTTAGTAATTTTAACATGTATTTAAACTATAAAAGATATTCTAAATGGATGTGCTTTCTGAGTCCGAGTCTTCCTGCCCTAGACTACCTTCATCTAATAATTCATAAACAAAGTCACTGTCACTTTCTATATTAACCGCTTCAGACTCTGACCAAGGCATTGAAGTGCTTGGAACTTTATTTACACTTGAGTTATTAATTTGAGGAGTAGTTACGCTTGTACCATTTTCATAACTGGTGTTTTCAATATTTTCAAGTTTTAAATTTTGTGAAATGAAAACTAGTTTCCAGCTTTTTCAGTTGTTAAGCGATTTCTTTTTGCACTATGAATGTTAGAATAAGTGCTAAAACTTCTCTCACATGATGCACTTGAAGCTGGTAGCTGAAGAATTCTAGATGCAACTTTTGATAGTTCAGTAAAGAAACACAACCCTTTCCACCAATTTATAGGTTGAGTTATTCCAACTGCAGTCCAAATAAAGAGTTTTGAAAATATACCACCCTTTGATTGGTAATTAGCAAAGTCATACATCATAATTTCTTTGTTTACTTCAGGCATACTTGCAGCAATGTTAAGTATCGCCTCACATGCATCAACCCATAAAAAGATTTTCCTCTTAATAGTTTTATAATTACTTTATTATTTTAAATAGTATTTTCAAACTTGAAAATAGTATTTAAAATAATTCAAAATTTTTCAAAAATTTTACTTTTAATGCACGAGGCTAAAATGTATTTGATTTTAAGACTCATATAAGAATTATGTGTAGGAAATACCTTTTGTTCTCCAGTCAAGACTCTGCCTTGAAAATTGGGATCTAGTATATTGGCTGCCATGTGAATTTCTGTTAAACAGAATTCTTTTCTTTTTTTGAAGAACTTTTTGGCTTCTTCTTCCTTTTTTGAGAATGGGCTAACTGCTAAATTTTTAAAAATGTGATCTTCCAAGAAGTGAAAAGTTTCCACAACAGTAGATAAGATAGGAGTATTTGAATTAGTTTCCTTTATTGCATCAGCTATTGGTGACAGTAATTTGAAAAAAACTTGAACCCTGTCCCAAAAAATATCTGATAGAAGAATATTTTTTGTTGCTGAATTAAGCCCACTGTTTTCAGAAATAGCCAATGTTTTTAATGGTTGCTTATTTTTCTGTATGCTATCTAAGCATGCTACAGTTGATCCCCACCTTTAAATAAAACACACAAAAATTGCAATAACTTTAATAAATTTTGATTAAAGTAATTTACTAAATGAAATCTATTTTTATGAATGTATAATAAAATTAGTTACATAATTCAATTTTTTTTGTAATGTACAGTATATTTATGCTTTTATTGTATTACCTAATTCGTACTGGTAGTTTCAAGGAAATGCAAGTTGCTACACCAGCTGACTTTTTTTGTATATCTCTAAATGCTGCAACAGATAAATGAGAATTTTTTATTTCTTTAACAATATCAGGTGCTTGTCAATTTTAAGTGTTTTGATGTCACACAGTTTAAAGTCTGTAAACAGCAAATTTAAACCGTGTGAAATGCATCCATAGCAATGAAGATGGGGATAACAATCTTTTAGACGAGTCTATGCATTTTTCATATTTGCAGCATTGTCAGTCACAATGCCCAAAACTTTGTTAGGATTTGTTTCTTCTAAAATTTTCTTTGTTTCATTTGCCATATATTCACCAGAATGGCTTGATTTTCCTACAAAACAGTTTAGGATATATTATATATACTGTAGTATATAAATATTATAAACCTATTTACTGATACTTTATTTCTGCTTATTGAAATGGTTTTCAGTGTCGTTTGTTATAAATTTAATATTAAAGTTAATTATAAAATAGTATGCATATTATTAAAGTCTACCAGTCTGTTAAGTAAATCCATTGTATACAGCACAAGAACTATGATTTTACCTGTAGGCAATGTCTTCCACAAAATGGGTGCGAAGAAGGCAATGTAATTACAAAGTTAATGATTGCTTCATTTCTGTAAAGAAAAAGCAGCATATAAACAAATATGATCTGTTTATTAAGTAAATAATATAATTTCAATTGCATCAACTAATACTATAAAAAATTATTTTTGTACCTTAAATTGCTCCATCCATCACTTATCAATCCAAGATAATCTGCAGTTGCTACCATTTCTTTAACATTTGCTGAAATCTCTAAAAATTCATCTAATAATACATTTGACACTTCATGTCTTGACGGAAGCTTATAAGCAGGATGTAACTTGTTCAAAAAGATTTTTCAATAGTTATATTGTACTAAATGGAGTGGGGATCCACTGACATATATATTTATATATATATATATATATATATATATATATTTTGTTATTTCACATCCCCAAGGTCGAGAAGGCCACTACAGACAAGGAGGCTACTTAATTGTGGTTATAACCCTCTCTCAACTCTATAACTCTGAAACACGAATCTTAATGAACAAGGCCACTGTGCAGAGAAACAAGTTAAGCGCGGTACTACCAGGGACATGGTGGGGATCGAACTCGGAACCTCTCGCTTATGAAGCAAGTGCTCTACCACTACACCACTACCGCATAAATATTGCTCTTGCTAGGTGTGTATCAATCAATTCCTACAAAAGATATGTCATACTGGTACATCAGTCAATCATGAAACAAATCTAAAATCTATACATCATGAATTTTTAATAAGTTAGTAGCCATATCAGCTCATTCTTCAAATAAATTTTAAAATTATAAAAATTATACACTTTTTCAGTTTTAGTCATGCTGTCAAACATGGAACTTGGTGTTTTACTTCTACAAATTGGTTCAGAAAAGAATTTTCAAAAGAATCTGATCGAGGATTTTTTGTTTTTGGTTCAGCATCTGCAGGAGAGTCTTGCTGTTTTTGACTATGTCCTGATTTATTTGCATATACACTTTTTACTTCACCAGGACATTTTTGACATTTAATATGTTTAGTCATTCGAGTTCCATTTTTAAACATAATGTCAAAGCAAAAGGAACATTTAACTCTTTCCATTTTGCTAATTTGGTTTATAGGTATAAATAAATTGGCAACTACAGTTTTGTTTCTCTCCCCTGAATGGCCTGCTTTACTTATTTTTATAATTAAAATTTACTATGTTAAGCAAAATATCTAAAATTTAAATATAATTAAATAGAGAACATAATTGATTATTAAAAAGAGCTTTTTAAACTGCATATAACTTTTTATTTGCAACTCAAAACTTTATAAGTACAGTAAATTAATAATAATAATAATAATAATAATAATAATAATAATAATAATAACAATAATGTATATATATATATATATATATATATATATATATATATATATATATATATATATATATATCAAATATCAAATAAAATTAAATAAATGTAGTTAAGAATAATAAATTTAGATAAAAAGTGTTTATTGAGTCAATAAAAACAATAAAGTCAATAAAAATTGAATAGAGGACGATAAAACTAACTAATAATTTTTTATACAGGACTGCTATAACCCTGTTAACCTAAACATTAACAATTTTAAAAAAAGAAAAAGAATTTTAGCCAAATTCAGCCATAGTTTTCCTATATAAATCTTAAATTAAAATATGTTTAATAATATTGCCATTAAAGTTGAATTTAGTAGCTTAAATGATGAATTTTTAAATATTTCCCAAAAAAACAGACCCCTGCGTTTTTTTTCAAAAAAAACGACAAAAAAAACCAAAAAACAAGAACCAAAAAAACGCGTCACATCTCTTTGTATGTATGTATGTATGTATGTATGTATGTATGTATGTATGTATGTATGTATGTATGTATGTATGTATGTCCTTATTTCCTTTAAAGTTTTGTTTTAAAAGTAAAGCTGACTTTATGCTAAAAATTAAACCTGAGAATTTTTTTATGTTTTAAAATGAATCAAACAACATATATAAAAAAAAAATATTTCACCAGATGGAAGTATTTCAAGGACAAGTTTTGGCAGGGCAATATTGCTACAACCAGCTTTGCTTCCACAAATTGCTAAACATTTCTCAGGATCTACACATGCAATATCATCTGCAATAAAAAATAGTTAAAATCATTATAAAAAATTTTAATGTAAACTTTAAATAAAAAACATAAACCAATATATGAAATTTTTGAAATGGTATATAATTAGAATTTGCAGGCAGTAGCATTATGACACACTCAAGCCTAGAATTTTCTTAAACTTTATGGAACTTTCTAGAATTTTCTGGCCTGTTCTGGATGTTTTTAGAAATTTCTGAAACTTTTTACAATTAAAAAGACAGGAGTCTTCTAGAAGTTAATGGAAATTATAATAATTTATACTATATAAGCTGACTGATTGAGCAATGCTAATAATAATATATGAATCTGTATTTGCCAGATGGCAGTTAAATAATATAAAAGACAATAGCATTTATATTCATTATTTAGCTTTTCAGCAATATTCTTAAGTATTATATTTAATCATAATGTCCTATAAGAAAAGTGCTTCAACTATTAAAAGAAACAAGACAGTCTGGATGAAGAACCGTGGACAATTTTATGAATCACATAAGAAAAGAACTTTCACTAGAAGAACAATCACTGGAAGATAACAGAAGAATACTACTTAAAATCCAAATTGTTCGTTGCTATCTGTTTCTGGGAGAATCCATTAAAGGGATACGAAAACATATAAAGCAAATCGAGAAAAAAGTACCAAGTTTATGTCAAAAAAAAATTAAATTTTCCACCTTTTTACAGTTTTGCCTGTACAACCTGAATTTGTCATTACAAGTTGTATAGGCAAAACTGGATCAAGTGCTAAAGACATAAAATAAATGTTTAATACAATCCATTAAATGAAGTTTTTGACACCACCAAAAAAATATGATCAATGACTCTGCAGTGAAGCCAAAAGACTGTATCATCTTTCAATTGGAAGCAAAAGACAGGTTGGGTATTGGGTATACAACTGGGATAGCTACTAGTTTAAAAACTACCCTCTGTCCAAAAAAAGAAAAATGTCTTCAAACCTACTTCAACAACAGAAACAGCAACAGCAACAGCAACAACATTAACTTCCAAATCCAAGTCTGATGTAGAATACCTGTAGTCTGAAAATTCAGAAAAACAGTCCACAAGTACCAGCAAGAACTACAACAAAATCAATACTGCAACTAAATTAGTAACATCTTCAAAGTTATCAACCAGCAAAGCAGTAACCAGTTATCGACAGTTGTCTCAAGATAGGATTAACATTCAGACACTTTCACAGTCTGATATATTTAGATCAACCATTAAAGAAGCTGTTAAACTAACAGAAGAAATGAAGAAAACACTACATTTGGAAAGCTGATCCCTGCACTTTGATAGTAAACATTTAAGTCACCAAGAATATTTAGTGTTTCAGTTGAAAAATGAACAAAAAGAAGTTAAGTTAAAAGCACTTGAACTACAAGATGAAAAATTTGTTAAAGGTATAACAGCTATTCTTAATGAATACAGTTTATGGAATAGCACAGAGTGGCCACTCAAATTTGAAAATGAATTTCCTTAACTTTTTCATGACTCTTCATAAATTTATATGATAAATCACTAGAGCAAAATATTCAGTATTTGTCATGCACTAAGTAATTGCTACTTGGTCATTATAAAACATGCAAACCAAAAACTAATTGGTAGAAAGTTCTGAAATCATGTCTGAAAAAACTTTTTTTCTTTTACTTCTCATATAACTTTCACGGCAAAAAAATATTTATTTTAAAAAGGACTTAGACTAGACATACTAATACTTTACTTTGTACTTTACTAAAGAAATCACAAGTAGAAAAAAATAAAGATCATTTTAAAAAGTTCAATTTTCCATGACTTTCAATGAAAATTTAAAAATTACATGACTTTTTCCATGACCAAATAAAATTCTATGACATTTCTATGATTTCCATGACCAGTGGCCACCCTGTAATATAAAGATGATTGTAGTGCACACTATGAATGTAAACACTGGAAAGAGGAATGGGATTATCAGTCAGTTACAAGGACGTTTTACTGAATCGAAACTGAAAAAAACATAATTTATTATTTGTCAAGATCATGTTCTTGAACAAGTCTTTCGCATAATAGCTAAAGAACTTGGCAGAAACAATATTGTTGCTCAATATCAAATATCTGTTTATCCATGAACATAAAAACAATGTAGGCAAATTTTTGCTGACCTCAAACACTTTGAGGAGGGCTGTTAGGCCGGAATTGACAAAGTTACACCCTAATTCTGAGGGCTGATATTTTTTTTGAGGGCTCTTTGACAAAATAAAGTATACATTATGTAAAAATTATTAAAATAATTGAGAAAACTAATTAAATTTTGATGTTTTTTTAATAACTACCATTGTTAACAAGTTTTTTTAATAACTACTGTTGTTAACAAGTATAATTACTCTAAAACTTTTGTTGTTAACAAGTTTTAGAGTAATTATACAATGATACAAGAGTGATCTTTATTCCTATGTATCCTTCCCAAGTGTAACACTCCTTAATAATTTTTTTAAATTTTATATTAACAAAAATTAAAATTAATCTCCAGATTTCAAATTTCATCAAAAAAAAAACTTGTTTAAAAAAAATTTATTCAAAAAAACTTATTTGTTGGGATAAATGGGCAAATAATAGATTAAAATGTATAACTTTTTAATAACAAAAGATTTAATTGATAAAATTTTAAATCGTACGATTGATTTATAATAGTTTAAGATATTATGAAAAAAGATAATTTTATTTCATGGGGCTCATACCTTGGGCAAGAGACACAAATTTTCAGGTTGAGCCTGTTCCTAGTCTCCAATCACCGTAATTTTTTGTAAAACATTATTAAATGACTCCAGTAACAAATATTTGGTAGTTTCAAAAATGGAATCAGTTTCTGGTATTTTTTTTTTGTATGAAATATTTTTGTAAAGGTGTGTACATATATGAGCAAATCCATGGCGGAAACTTAAAAAGTAGTCAAATTTTATACTCTTTTTTGTCAGCTTTTAACAAATGAATATTGATTGCAATTTAGAAGATTAGGAAATTCATGTGTCTACATCAGTAGATGCATGAAAGTTTATTTAAAAATACATTTAGTTCTAAAATAAATTTATTTAAATCATTTTAATAGTTCTGAAAATTACCTTTTTTCTCATTGACGCGTGATAAAAAAGTACCATTGTAAAATGTTATTTTACCCATGATTTTTTTTGCATATTCCGAAATATTTTGATATGATAATAAAGCTAAGATGTTCAATTTGTTGGTTATTTACCAGCATGATGGAGCTAAGATGTTCAAATTGTTGTTTACTACCAACGTTATTCCGAACAGAAAAAAAAATAATGCCGATCACCAAAAAGCTCATTGTCAACAAATAAAACAAGATCCGAAAAAAAAATAAAGGAAAGAGTCCAAAAGTATCAACTCAAAAAGAAAGGTTCTGCAAAAACAGTAAACCTTTCCACTATTATGTGTGTTCAAACAAAATGGAAATTACTCAAGAAAGTCCAAAAAACATTGTTCAAAGATCCCTCACAATGTTAGAAAGTCATAGCCACATTGCTGAATGAATCATTCAACAAAGAAACTATTCTTCCATTAAATAACGTGAATAATCCAGCTTTGACTGAAGTAGAAATAAAAGTAAAAAGGTTCTACTGCAAAGATGACATTAGTTGGCAGTCTCCTAATGTTAGGGACATTGTTCAACCTACGACCAGTAAATGTTTGATCTATTGCAAATTTGCCTCATAACGTATGCGCTTGTACTTACCACGAAAATATGTGATATGCTTTGGATTCCTTGGTGAAAGTTGATTGTTTACAGTTGTCTAACATTATAATTGAGAAAAATATGTCTCAAAATTTTGTTTGTAAGGACTCGTTAAATGATTGTTTCTACAATAAATGCAACAAATGCAAAGATCTGAAGTTTTTCCAGCAATTCTTGACCACCATTGAACCACTAAACTTAGAAACAAGTTGGTACCAATGGCAGAAACCAAACATAAAGCGTTACGCTGTAATAGAAGTTAAAAAGTTTGGTAAAGAATTGATTGCTTACATTATGAGTATGAGAGAAAAAATCACAACTCATGCCAAAATCAAGGGCAACCAATCTAAATGTTTTAAACAAAGCATTACTAAATCCATGCATCCATCATCGAATGTTGCTACTATTCAGGTTGACTATGCAGAAAATTTTAATTGTTTTTGTCAGAATGAGCCTCAAGCAGCACACTATGGACAAAATCAAATTTCTCTTTTCACTGTAGCAATTTGGCAAAAAAATCTTAAAACTTTCACCATTGCATCTGATTTTCTGGATCACAAAGACCTCCTTAATTGCAAATTTGGATAAGTTATTAGAGTCGATTTCATTTAATATCCAAGAAATTCACATTTTTAGCGATAATGCTACGTCACAGTTTAAAAATAAAATGGTGATAAGCGCAATAATGCATTTTGAATTAGAAATTTAACAAAATAATATTTTGTTATTTTTTCGCAGCAATGCATAGCAAATGAGTTGTTGATGGAGTTGGGGCTACTATAAAACATTTGGCAACCAACAGAGTAAAGTCAGGCAAAATTGAAATCCAATCAGCTAACCATTTTGTGAATGCTCTTCAAGATATTAATGTCAAAGTTCTATATTTGTCAGAGGAAGAAAAGTCAGCATACATTTGTGCACTCAAACTATAGCAAATTATCCAGCAAGCCAAAAAAGTGAAAGATATCTCTAAATCCCACTACCTTTATGTCAGTAAGGGCCAAATCATAGAGAACAAAACCTAACCATGACATATTTAACATTTGAAACAAATAAAAGGATGTATAATTTGAAACAAATAAAGGATGTAAATAAATGGTTACACCATTTTTATTTTAAATTATATTCTTATTCACTTAATATTTTTGTTTTCATAAAACAAATTGTTGAATAAATTGTTAAATGGAACTAAGGGGTCGTCCATAAAGTATGTCACCCAATATTCGTCAATTTTCAACTTCCTGCCTCTCGCCACAAATGATCAAATATACCTGCACCCCTCTCTCACCTAAAGTATGTTGCATATTTCAGCACCCACCCAAAAAAGCAACACAAAACAACCAACAGAAAACAAACATTTTTTTACGTTCTTAAATTAATGAAATTAAATATTTTGATTCCACTTTAATGTTTTTAAAATTGTTAAAGTAGTTTTAGCACAAATTTTTTTTTAAAGATTTCAATGTAAATAGTTAGCAGCATTTTAAAAATTTAATACACATAAAAATAGCATAATAAAATAACTGTAACATTTTAATAACTCAATAAGTATTAATAAAGTTGCCAAACAAAAGTAATTTTTTAAGTTGCTCTTGCACTTCGGAAAATAACTGTTACAAAAACATCCATTAATATCAACAAAAAAAAATATCTCAGAAGAGAGCCAACAGTTATTAAAAATTAATTTTGTTAACTATTTTAAATGAATGAGTTTTAATACAATGCCGTTCTTTCGTTATGTAACTCTAAAAAACACAAAATTATAGATATAAAAATTCCACAAAAATAATCACAAGGTAATGTATTTAACCTAAGTTAACGATTTAACCTAAATTAAATGTATAGTAACAAGAAAGCAAGTATATTTCCCTTAACCGTTCACCTCTCATAAATTTTTATTTATTTTTGTAATTAGCATTGAATTCTCAAATATTTGATAAGGTTGTTGCGTATGTAACGAAACTAAAAATGGAATATATATATATATATATTTTTTTTTGTTTTGACAAATGAATTAACGCTTCAGCAGTTTTTTGTTTTGTTTGTTTTTCTCAACATATATTTTGCTGCTTATACTAATAAAAAATAAAAATACAAAGAAATGTTTTTAAATTAATTAAATTAATAGCTTTTATTATTAGATTATTATTATTAGATTATTAGCTGTTATTAGCATCATACTTAAAAAATTGTGGCATAAAGTTCAATAATAAAATCTAAAACTGTAAAATAATGTGTCTTTTCTTTTGTATTTTAAAACCAAAGTTACAAGTAACTTTTGTTTTGAATTACTAATTGAAAAAACTTATTTCATTTACAAATGGATCTTTTTTTTTCCTTTTTTACAAATGGATCATGCATGTGTTGATGTTGTCCATCATATTTTTAATGAAATGCATACAAAGCTTGTAAATTATATACTGCTAATGATAGCAAAATCAGAGTTATGATAGATGAATCCACATTAAGCAAAAAATCTATTTATTCAACTTGGTTGCGAGTGAACATTTCAGAAATAAATATCGTTAATAGTATATTTTTTGACCTTATCGAATTAATAAGCACAAAAACCTATAGCAAACTATTTTAAAAGTGCTTTAAATTGTCTAGCTTTTGACAACAACCTTTTAATAAGTAATTGGGTCTCTTTTGCTTGTGATGGTGCTAGTAATATGCTAGACAAAAAAGCAGGTCTGGCTTTTTTACTTTGAATCAGTTTCCCAATTTAATTTTATGACATGGTAGTAATCATCATCTAGAGTTAGCAGTCAATGTTGTATGAAATATTTTACCAATTTGTCACAAGGAAAAGTTTTTTGATAAGTTGTATTCCGTTTTCAGAGTATCTTCTAAAAACAAAAAGGAACTGGATATTGTTTCGATGGCTTTAAGTGTAAAATTGAATTCCATTGGACGAATTTTAGGTACCAGATGGCTGTCGTCTAGTGCACGATCTGTATTGGCTGTATAGATAAACTATGCAGCATTGTATCAACACTTCAATGAATCTTCATTGAATCTAAAATATAATGGAGCAGTTAGAGCCCAAAACGCAGGCCTTAAAAAGAAAAATTGTTATCAATTTTGTACTAAACATGGGACTAATGCTAGATGCCTTAATAGAACTAAAACATCTTTCTAAAAAGTTACAAGATAGACAAACTTCTTTACCTGAGGTACATCAGTTTATTACCTTGAAATACCTGTTTTTCAATCAATGAGTAAATATTTTGATGAGTATTATTTTCAATCAATGAGTAAATATTTTGATGAGTATTACAGCTTGCAGCAGAAAAATTTGAACTTAAAGGCGTCAAATTGCAGATAGGTAAAGTTTTAAAAACTATTAAAAAATAATTTTTTAGTAAGTATAGCAGTCCAAGGACTTTATGAGTATTTTCTTCACCACCAGATTGTTTTTTTTTTTTACTTGAAGATGTTTTACAAGTTTTGCAACTGAATCAAAGTAACACAATATATAGCTCTATTGCGTGTGTTTCTTCATCTTTTAGCAAACTTGGTACAGATGTTCATTTTCAACCCGCTGTTCATAGTGACCCTTGTTGACGGTACATGTTGTAAACTTGTAGCTGATGCAAAATATTCAAAACCTGTAAAATAGACAGATGAGCATGAGTATCACTTTTACCAACAAATCTTGCCCTTGTGAACTGTATACAAGTTTTCAACATTTCCTCTCATTGAATGAAACTCGATTGCACATAATATAATTTTTTTTATGTTTTAAAGTTGTATGCACTTAATAAGGACAAGTCTAGCAAACTGTAGCTTTTTTTTTTTTTTGCCTGACATTTTTTCATTTCTAGACTGTGAATAAAGTTTAACAATTTTTATATATAGTATTTCGCTTGTGGCTTTGTACTGAAATTTACAGTTTACAACATAAGCTTTAAAAAATAAAAGATCAAATACTATAAAAGTTGCAAGAGTAATTACAGCATAAAAGTTGTTAAATTATAAGTGTTTAAATCAGAGTTATCAGTTGTAAAGTAGGACATTTTTAAAAAAACCCAAATATATTTTGGTTTTTATTGGGTTTTATTGCTTTTTTTTAAGATGGGTTTTTTTTGGGTTGGGTTTATTTGCCAACCCTGAAATATGTTCAGAGTTTACTACTAAAATACTTACTAGGAAAAAGTATGCGACTAATCATTCCAGGCATGACCATAGTAAATAAAGGAATAATTTTGATATATCCAGCAATCACTGCTCCGCCTTGGGCGTGAGAAAGACTTTTTGCAGCTAATGCTCTTTGGACAATAAC